TTCCTCAACTTGGGGTCTTTTGATCAGTTTTGGGGGTTTCATCTCTTTCCTTATCTGGAAAAGCACCAACCCCGCCCATCCTTCCGTGGTTGTCATTTCAAACACTTCCCTGGCAGCTGCAAAGCTGATAGGAAGCAACAAAACTTCCACTGTGGATTATCAGGAGCACTACTGAGGCATTGCTTAATGCATCTGATATCTCAGCCTCGAGAACAGAAAGGGAAAAAAAAAAAAAAGATTGGCAGCTATTGCAGGAATTCAGAGAGGGGCACCTTGGTCCAGAGCTGGGGGGAGACTTCTCCTTCCATTACAGAGCCCTGGGCTGAGATGGATTCCCTCTCCATCATTGTCCTAAGCACATTATCCCTGAAAGAAAGAGGGTTTCTCTGAATCTGCAATTTTTCTAGGCTTCAGTGTTATTGAAATGAAACGGCTTCAAGGATATCTACATTCTTTACCATCATATGGATTCTCATCTCATGTAAATTATTTGGCCACTTTTCATTTTAATCCTCCACTGTCATTTTCTACAAAAGAGATCATTTGGTTTCTTCATGGAAGGTATTCAGCTGACAGCTGCCCTTTGTCTAGAAAGCAGTGTGCCTTTGCAGGAGTTACTTGTGCCTGCTCCTTTTCTTTTTTTTTCCCTTCCTTTTAAGTTCATATGGCTTCATATTTTTCATCTGTAGCTTTCAGAAACTTTTCAGACTGTGAACAGGTTTGTGGCTGTGAAGGGAATTTCAGACATCTTGCATTCTTTCCCTGTGTACCTGGCTGATAAGAAACAGAACTAGAGGCAGAATAATTAATTTACTGCAAGAAGAACTGTAGTCCAAAAAAATCACAGTGTTTTCACAACTTCTACATGAGCAGACAAAATAGTCAGTGATGAAGTCTTGAATTTTTTTTCGTGGCTTTCTTATCTTGAAAACTTAATTATTCTCAGGAATCATAGAAACATATAACCGAGGAGTCATTAGGGGTGAAAAGGACCTTTAAGATCATCAACCAGCATTGTGTTCACCACTAAGCCAAGATCCTCAAGTGCCACATGGTGGGAGGTTTAAAATGTGCTTTGTCACAAGACCTTGATGGGATGGGGATGAAATGTGATGTGTTGGTGTGCAGGGTTTATGCACAGAAGATTTGGATGCTGAGGAGGAAAATCAGCAATTAGGGTTGGATATTTTGGGTTTCCTGGAGCTGTGAGACCTTTTCCTTTCAGGGTATGAGCTCTGATAAAGCAGCTTGCCGCTAAAAGCACAGTGTGGTCATGGAGAGGAACAGTGTGGCCTCAAGAATGGCTTCAAGCTGAAGGAGAATAGATTTAGGTTGGATTTTGGGGAGAAATTCTTCCCTGGGAGAGTGTTCCCCTGGCACAGGCTGCCCAGAGAAGCTGTGGCTGCCCCTGGATCCCTGGACATATCCAAGATTGAGTTGGAGCAACCTGGGATGGTGTCAGGTGTCCCTGCCCATGGCGGGATGTTGGAACTGAATTATCTTTCAGGTCCTTTTCACTTCACACCGTCCTGGGATTGAGTGCTGAGGAGAAGATTCAGTTTTGGGGCGTGCAATTTGAGGATTGGCCAAGTTTATGAAAGTGTGGGGGAAGGAGAAGTCCCATCATTAATGAGGATAAGGAATAGTCCAACAGGGGGAGGAAAGGCAGGTTCTAAAATTACTGCCAGCTGCAGAAACAGAGTTTTAATTGATCCACTAGTTCCCCTTCCAGGTGGTGCCCACTTGGCTTTGGGATCCCCACAAAAAGGACCAGGACAGCTGTGTGAGAACTCACTGAGATTTTTGATGCTTTTTCATAAATTGAGATTTAGGGTGAGAAGAATTTCACATTTCCTAGTGAGAATCACTTTTCCTGTAGAAATTTTTAGACATTTTACATGAAAAGATCAGAAATTCCTGTTTGAATTTAAAGAAAATGTTTCAGACTGATGAGAAATGTCAGCCAAATTAATTATTTATAACTTAGTTGTAAAATGTTTAGAGATAAGAATTCAGACTTTAGCAGTTTCTGAATCACAGAAATGATTGGAATACACAAAACTCCCTCATTTGCTAGAAGGGATGTCTCATTCCTTGTCCAGTTCTGGAAGTTTGCTCCATCACAGGGAGATTTCCTGTTGTCCCAGAGAAATGTAAGCATGGGCTGAAGTTTTGTTGTTGGTAGAAAATATTTTTATTTGTTGGAGGCAGCAAAAGCCCGGCTGTGTCTTGGGAAAGGGACAGTGTTGAGTTAAGTGACAAGAAAAGGGTCACTGGTGGCTCTGGTGTTGTCTTTGCTGCTTTAATTAGTGTCTCAGTTTCTTGAATTAACAAGAATGGGCACTTCAAGGTCACCCTGATTGATAATTTTATGTATTTTGTAATTTCTTCCATGAATGTTGTTTTTTCATGCGTGTGGTGCTGTTTAGGACTCCAGGGCAGGCAATATGTTCATGTAAATAACAGAGCAGCATTTTTCAGCTGTGGTCTCTTGATGTTCCTTTACCTCAGGGTGCTCAGAAGAGGAAAAGATTCCTGGCTCTGGGCAGAGGGCAGTGCTCTGTAGGTGGGAGAGTGAAATATTGTCATGGGGCTGCTGAACTGGGATCCTGAGCTTCTGCTTCCATCACTAACTACTGGGAAAAGCATTTTCTGCTCTGTTTTCCAATCTCTCCATTCTCCAGAAATGCACCATTGTCCAGAACCCTGCAACCCCTTTGAA